TACAATCATGCATCTGTCATTTGACAGTCTATAAATTCTCTTGCAAAATTTTGCATTAATTTTCTTCATTTTTGGATATCTTCTGCACAGAATTGGATAGAGATTTAAACATGAAAGTTGTAACTCTCTCTCTTAGATTTCCAATGCCCAAGAATCAGCTCAATCTAAATTTTGTAACTCAATTTATGACATTTTTTTCCAAAACAGTTGCAAGCTGTCAACTGCTCCACAGCTGCAAAAGTGTAAATGCAAAATTTTGGATTACTTTTCTTTATTTTCAAATGCCTTATACACAGAATTGAACTGAGATTTAAACATGAAAGTTGTAGTTCTCTCTCTTAGCTTTCCAATGCCTCAAGAATTAGTTCAATTGGAAATTTATAACTCAAGTTATGACATTTTTTCCAAAACTGCAGTAAAAGTGTAGATACAAACTTTTGGATTACTTTTCTTCATTTTTGGATACCTTCTACACCGAATTGGATTGAGATTAAAACATAAAAGTTGTAGCTCTCTCTCTTAGCTTTCCAATGCCTCAAGAATCAGCTCAATCCGAATTTTGTAGCTCAAGTTATGACATTTTTTCCAAAATAGCTGCAAGCTGTCAACTGCTCCATAGCTGCAAAAGTGTAATTGTAAAATTTTGAATTACTTTTCTTCATTTTCGGATGCCTTGTGCACTAAATTGGACTGAGACTTAAACATGAAAGTTGTAGCTCTCTCTCTTAGCATTGCAATTCTTCAAGAATCCACTCAATCCGAATTTTGTAACTCAAGTTATGACATTTTTTCCAAAACAATTACAAGCTGTTAACTGCTCCACAGCTGAAAAAGTGTAACTGCAAAATTTTGGATTATTTTTTTTCATTTTTGGATGCCTTATGCATAGAATTGGACTAAGATTTAAAACATAAAAGTTGCAATCTCTCTCTTAGCTTTCCAATGCCTCAAGAATCAGCTTAATCTGAATTTTGTAGCTCAAGTTATGACATTTTTTTTCCAAAACAGCTGCAAGCTGTCAACTGTTCCACAGCTGGGTGAGTGGAAACTTTTGCTGTAAACTTTTGGGTTATATTTCTTTAATTTTGAGTACCTTATGCAAATATTGGATCATAATTTAAACATAAAAGTTACAACTCTCTCTTTAGCTTTCCATACCTCAAAAATCAGCTCAATCTGAATTTTGTAACTCAAGTTATGACATTTTTTTCAAAACATGCAAGCATCAACTGCTCTATAGCTGGGTGAGTGGAAAATTTTGCTGTAAAATTTTGGGTTATATTTCTTCAATTTCGACTTCTTATGCAAAAAATTGGATTATAATTTAAACATAAAAGTTTCATCTCTCTCTCTTAGCTTTTCAATGCCTCAAGAATTAGCTAAATCCGAATTTTGTAGCTCATGTTATGACATTTTTCAAAACAGTGCAAGCTGTCAACTGCTCCACAGCTGGGTGAGTTGAAAATTTTGCTGTAACATTTTGGGTTATATTTCTTCAATTTCAAGTGCCTTATGAATGAATTGGATTATGATTTAAATATAAAAGTTTCAGCTCTCTCTCTTAGCTTTCCAATGCCTCAAGAGTCAGCTTAATCCGAATTTTTTAGTTCAAGTTATGACATTTTTTCCAAAATAGTTACAATCTGTCAATTGCTCTACAGCTGGGTGAGTGGAAAATTTTGCTGTAAAATTTTGGGTTATATTTCTTCAATTTAGAGTGCCTTATGCAAAGAATTGGATTATATTTAAACATAAAAGTTGCAGCTCTCTCTCTTATCTTTCTAATGCCTCAAGAATTAGCTCAATCCGAATTTTGTAACTCAAGTTATGACATTTTTTCCAAAACAGTGCAAGCTGTCAACTGCTCCACAGCTGGGTGGGTTAAAAATTTTGCTGTAAAATTTTGGGTTATATTTCTTCAATTTCAAGTGCTTTATGAGATGAATTGGATTATGATTTAAACATAAAAGTTTCAGCTCTCTCTCTTAGCTTTTCAATGCCTCAAGATTCAGCTCAATCCGAATTTTGTAGTTCAAGTTATGACATTTTTTGCAAAACAGCTACAATCTGTCAACTGCTCTACAGCTGGGTGACTGGAAAATTTTGCTATAAAATTTTAGGGTTATTTTTCTTCAATTTTGAGTGCCTTATGCAAATAATTGGGTTATGATTTAAAAATGAAAGTTGCAGATCCCTCTCTTAGCTTTCCAATGCCTCAAGAATCAGCTCAATCGGAAATTTGTACATCAAGTTATGACATTTTTTTCCAAAACAGCTGCAAGCTGTCAACTGCTCCATAGTTGCAAAAGTGTAATTGCAAAATTTTGGATTACTTTTCTTCATTTTCTGATGCCTTATGCACAGAATTAGACTGAGATTTAAACATTAAAGTTGTAGTTCTCTCTCTTAGCTTTCCAATGCCTCAAGAATCAGCTCAATTGGAAATTTGTAGCTCAAGTTATGACATTTTTTCTAAAACTGCAGTAAAAGTGTAAATGCAAAATTTTGGATTACGTTTTTTCATTTTCGGATACCTTTTGCATAAAATTGGATTGAGATTTAAACATGAAAGTTGTAGCTCTCTCTCTTATCTTTCCAATGCCTCAAGAATCAACTCAATACGAATTTTGTAGCTCTAGTTATGGCATTTTTTCCAAAATTGCAATAAGTTGTCAACTGCTACTATTACTCTTAGCAACACCAGTTTCGGTAAAATGTTCATATCTCATGCTAGAAAACTCGAATTTGGGCAATTCAAAATTTTTTTAAAAGCTAAAAGAAGGAACTACAACTTTCATGTTTTGACTTTTTTCTAATGATGCCCATAACACACCTAAAATTAAAAAAATATAAGCTGGTATCTATGTAGTAACAGATTTTTGCATTGATCCGTTTTGTTACAATCATTCATCTGTTTTATACAGTTTTGTATGTGTTAGTGTACAATCACTCACTGTTATGCTCAGAACATACTTGAAATTGAATGACATTTTGGGTATATAAATTACCTTAACTGGAATTATTTTTTTATTTGACTTTTTTTATAATTATTTTTACATTTGACCTTTTTAGAAATTATTTTTTAAAAATTTCTTTTTTAATAATTATCCCAAAAAAATTTTCCACTATAGTCCCTAAATGGAAGGTGGTGTTGTTGCAAAGACGGAAAGTGCTAGCTCGTTCCGCATGCAAAGCAAGAGAGAAGAGGGCCTGGGTTCTCTGACATATAGCAGTTGTATCGTCCTCGTTGTCATCATGAATTTATTCGCTATCTGCTTACTTTATTTAGTGGCTATGGTCGAAGAACAACTGTGACAGGGAGCTGACCAGTAGACAGAGATGACAAATGCGGGGAAGAAGAAAGACAGGAGTTCTTTAATTATTTATTTGTTTTCTTAGTAACAATGGGGCCAAGGCCAAAAAAATAAAGCTAAAAGTTAAGAAACACCGGGAGTAACAACCCCCAAAATATCTTGGCAGAAGAGATTCTTATTCTGATTAGGGGTAAGCTTAAGCTTTAATGCTAGATTCATGAGATGAGTTAATGTTAACCGAATAATTTGCACACTCGTTGACTTTCTTAAATATATGATTTACCTCTATCGTTAAATAGATTTAATTCTAGATAAAAAAGAAACTGAGCAAGATCACTTATCTAAGTACCAAAAATTAGATCTACCGTGAGCTTTAAATTTTGTTTCAATCTAATTTTTCTAAAATCTAGATTCTAAAGGATGTTCTTTTTGGGTTTTAAAAGTAAAATTTTTATTTTTTGAACAATATTTTTAAAAATTTATTTTTAAAACATACTTTGGAAGCAAAACAAGAGTATTTATTTCAAAAATTGAGCACGACCATTTGGCGATACTCAATTTTAAAGAAAATGTTTTAAAAATAAGTTTTGAAGCAAAAGGTTAAAATAAAGCTTAAATAAGCTTAAAAACAGTTATATTTATATTTTGCTTCGTTTAAAAAATATAATTTCATAATTTTATTTTTTAAAATATTATTTTTAAATATACTAAAAATATAATGATTTATTTTATAAAATTATTTTTAAAATATTATATTTTAAAGATATATTTAAACTTTTAAATATTTAAATTTGAGATTGAAAAAGGCGCCTCTAAACCTTTTTTAGATCTTTCCAAACGCTTCAAATTTCAACATTCAAAGCGCTAACCTATCCGGTATTTTTAGTAATACCTCTTTTCTAATTTCCATCGTTGTCCCCGAGGAGGCTTTCGCATCCCACCAAATTTCTGTCTTTTTTGAAAATCCAATCTGTGTTGAGCTTTGTCCATTCTAAACCCAGGGAATCATTTAGCTTGAGCCTTATCTGACCTTACAGGCTGAACCCTCTGGAGAGAGAGTTTTTATTTAAAAATTTTAATTTTATTCCAATTAGAATCCACGTTGGCATACCCTGCCAGCCGATGGTTCTTTTTTTTTTTTCTTTTAATGGAAAAATTTAGTCGATAGTTTAAACTAGTGTTTATGGTGTTATCTAGCAAAAAAATGCGAGTTAAGACTCCTGTTACTGAGTGGGGAGTGACATGGTCATTGTTTGACTAGTTTGTTTCTTTTTTGTCATCTTTGTCGAGAATTAACTTTCTCGGTGTGAAAGTTCCGTCATTGGTGGTTAACTTACTCGTCTCTAACCGTCCTCTTCCATTCTGGTTTGTTAACTTATCCGTCTCCGGCCGTCCTGCGAATCCTGGTTTGCAGTTGGCAGATTCTAGTAGCATTCATCATGCGTTGTTAGCCAATTAAATTGGTTTGGACGATAAATACGAATATGTCAAAATCCACGGCTCAGATGCGAATTCTAAGAGCGTTGTTCCTCACACGAACTTGTGAAATGGTTAGTATCAAATTGCATGCTCGTTGAGACCGTGGAGACCATGGATCGGCATGATTTGCAGCTAGAGTCTCCCCCGATCTTTACTTGCATACTTTTGTACGCTTCTTTTCCAACTCCACATTAATGGCCACCGGAGATCGGAAGTTTACGGCCTAGTTCCTCCCCATACTTCACCACAAGCCACCTCATTCACCTTGTAGACACCGCCAGGCTCTTCGCCTCACCCAGCTTCACCGTTACCATCATCACCACTCTTTCCAATGCTGCCCTGTTTCAAGCCTCCGTCAACCGCGATATAGCCGCCGGCAATAAAATTACCGTCCAGACCCTGAGGTGTCCATCCGCAGAAGGGGGTTTACCTGAAGAAATCGAGAATTTCGGCACAGCCGATTCGATTGAAATCGCAATCAAAGTCTCCCAAGGTGTCTTCCTCCTCCAGAAACCGATGGAGAAGTGGATTCGCAATGGTCGCCCTCACTGCATCGTCTCCGTCATGCTCTACCCTTGGACCGTGGACATCGCCGGGGAAATGAAGATTCCGAGGCTCATGTTTTACGCGAACAATTGTTTCTACCACTGTGTCTACAACAACTTGAAGCTCCACGCTCCTCATGATAAGGTACTAGCTGCTGTTTTACTATTCATGGTTTCTAAACTCGAGTAAAATTTTCAATTTCTAACTAAACTCGAAAAGTTGTTCCATGTGATCCCTGAATTTATAACAGGTAGAATGCGGCAAGAAGAGATTTGTGATTCCTGGACTCCCTGACGAAATTGAGATGACGAGGGCTCAACTAGAGGATTATCATTCGGTGGACGATGAATTGACGAGATTGTTTACTCTGGCAAAAGAATCAGGGCTACGAAGCTATGGAACAGTCTTTAACAGCTTCTATAAGCTCGAACCCGCCTAAGCAGACCACTACAAAAATCTCCTTGGACGGAAGTGTTGGCATTTGGGCCTCCCCTCTTATTTCATGGACAGAAACAGGCGTGTGGAACAGACCAACTTGGAAACAGAGCACTGTCTGAGTTGGCTCGACACTCAGAAACACAACTCAGTCTTGACATTTGTTTCGGCAGTCTTATACCATTTTACGACGTTCAATTGCTTGAGATTGCGGAAGCTCTCCAACAATCAGGCTACCGCTTCGTTTGAGTCGTTAGAAAACGGGGAGAAAATCAAGAAGAAAGTTGGTTGCCAAAGGGTTTCGAACAGACGGCGAAGAAAAGTAACAAGGGTGTGATAATAAGAGGATGGGCTATTGGAGGGTTCCTAACTCACTGCGGTTGGAACTCGCTTTTAGAATGCATCACCGCCGGTGTACCAGCGATGACGATGCCCCTATTCGGCGAGCAGTTTTACAACGAGAAGCTCATGACTCCAGTCCTGAACATTGGGGTCGAAGCGGGGTAGGAGGCATGGATATCCGGGTTTGAGATCAGCAATGTTGTGGTGGGTAAAAATAAGTTGATCAAGGCTATAACTCGGTTGATGGGAGGGTCGGACGAGGTTCGAGAGATGAGACGGCGGATCCGGGAGCTTAGTGTGAAAGTCAAGAAGTCGGTACAATATGGAGGATCCGCTTACTCCGATTTGGATTCTCTAATTGAGGAAATGAAACTTGTGCTGTTCCGAAGTCGCTTAACGAGGCAGCTAAACTGAAGCTTCAAGTAGAAAAGCGCTAAATCTTTCCTTTCCTTTTTGCTTCTGGGTAGTACTTAATCAATTGTAACCCAAAAAAAAAAAAAGTACTCACTCAATTGCGTCAAATTTGTTTGGTGAGAGAAACATATTCGGCTCAGGAGCTTTTGGAAGTAATTTTCTTTAATGTCCTGATTTTTTTTTAATCATAAACTATTCATTATCCCTTTATTGTAATGGAAAGGAAATATAAATAAATTAAAATATCAATAGGAAATAAAGCCAGCTAGAAATAGTTAAAAACTATTAAAGTTCCGTCACATATTGGAAGAATTTTTTATTTTTATTCAGAAATCTATTCTATAAAATCATTCAGAAAGTAGGGCAAATTTCTAGCCAGAACCTATTCCAAAAGAAGTCCAAAACAAAAACGTACTTCTGAGAAAATATAATAATGCGAGCTTTTCTTTATATTTGTGTGTGCTTATATATATATATATATATAGTGTAAAATTTATTTATCATTTGTAAATTCAAAGAATTATCGCTTGATATTTCATGTAAAATACTCTAAATTTTACAAATAATGCAATTAGGAAAAATCTAAATTATTGTACTACATATTAACTAGGATTATGCTGGAAAATGGAGCAGGCTCATCTACGTGGATAGATCCAATCAACCCATTTTACTAAACGGGTACAAATAAAATAAAGGGAATAGTTTTAAAATTTAAACAAGGGGGAAAATCTCTCATAACTGATCAGATATATAAAATCTCATATTTACAAAAAGTTTTAAAAGTATAAAATCTCCATGTGTTATCTTAAATTTGTACAAAACTGTCCTGTTATATGAAAAGTGCAACAAACTTCCTTGTATTTTAAGATTTTTTGAACATTTGCCATATTTTTTTCCACAAGTAATTGTGTTAATCTATAATAACCAGGTTAAATATTTAATTAAAGAAGTAAAAGATGGAAATTAGTATATAAAAATAAGATAAACTTTGGAGACCAAACTAAATGAAGTGTATTAAGTTTTGTTCAATTTTATTTTATTTTTTATTTTAAAAAATATATAAAATAATTAATTTTATTTTGGTTATTTTGATAAAACAAACAATCACTATAAAAAATATTATTTTTTAGTTTTTAGAAAAGAAAATTATATTTAACAAAAAGAGGAAAAAATAAAAAAACATTAAAATAATAATTGGAGGTGCTCAACTCTAGATGTTAGAGAATTAAATTTATTATTGAAAGAAAGAATCATATGATAAATGATAACATTTTTAATTAAATGATTATTTTTGACTTTTAAGAAATCATATAAAAGTAAATTTTACAATTATTTTCACCTAAAACAAGTAGGAGAATATTAAAATATAATACATTTTATTTTAATTCTCATATTAGAAGATATGTAAGCTAACTAAAGCATAGGGGAACAGTCAAGTAACCTCCTCAAGCTTTGTTGATCTTCCTTGATTGGTCATCCTTCCACGACCTCTTCCTCTAATTCCAGCTCGGCCTGTTCCTTGTGCTGGTGTAGAGGGTGATATCTAACACGAAAGCGGAGGGTAATGTGATCTATTTAATGGCATCTCTGGAGTCACAGATCCCTTGTTCTCGGGATCATGGATCAGATTCTCATATGGAGCATCCACCTAATCAACAGATTTCAAACAACACATATACCAAGAGTAAGAACAAAGGTAAGATCAAATCAACAATCGAATTCAAAGAATAGAAAACTTCTACTTGTCTTTTCACAGCATCTCAATTATGAGAGTGGCTAGCTCACAACTATAATCGGGACTCTATAGATGAACGATTGCTCCATCGACCACAAAAAATCTAGTGCTCTGATACCAATTTTGTCACAACCCAAATTGGATCCATGACTGGTCTAATAGTCAAAATAAATCCCAACCTCGCAAGCCTAATAGAAAATATGGAATTTAACTAAACTAATAATCTGGTATAAAACAAAGATAAACCAAACCATACTAATTGAATTGTTAACATAAAACACAAAACCTATTCGTAATCAAATGGAGCATACTGAAATCCTAGGAACACACAATTTGATAGAAACTGAATAAGTAACTCTGAAAAGCCAAACAAAAGCAGCTAACAATATGGACTTCTCTCAGATAGTAGGATCTGTCAGACCAACAAACTCAAAATCTGAAAAAAATAAGGGTGAGTCTACAAATTCAGTGAATAATAATATGCATCTATGAGAATAAATGACATGCATACTGAAACATGTAATTCACCAAAAACAAATTTTTAACAAATATTTCCATAATTTAGAGAGTTCGAAATCTGGAACGTCACATATATAAAAATCAGAATGGCAACTCATAATCCGTCGACTAATGGAATGATGACACACAGTTTGCCGGGTAACAAAACGGTGACACACAGTCTATTGGATAATAGAATGGTGACACACAAGCTGTCGGATAACAGAACGCAACATATCACTATGTCAATAAACAAAACAGTAACATATTAGTCATGCCGATAAACAAAAATCAGATGGTGGCATTCTCGTATGCCCATATACACATATACAAATCTCCATGTTGACCCAACACGAGAGTCTAGCACCATCACCTCTGCTAGATGGTGACCATGTGCAGAGTATTCTCAGTCTAACGTCTACTGCCGTTAACTGCAGTATTCTAAAATCCGAACTCCCTCAAAAAATATTGTTTAGAAATAACAGAACAATTTAATAAAATCTTTCTATTTACAGATATAAACTAAATCCAATGTAAATAACAAATAGTATCTCAAAATAATTCTAGAAATTACATGCATGTCCCTTGTTATACATTTTAACATAATTTAATGAAATTTTCAAAAATCAGATATCTCATATAAAACTAGATTTATCACAGATATGGAAAACAGTAAATGCTCATAAATGCACATTATTATTCACAAGAACGACGAAAACTGAGAAATCCAATCTCCAACAACACGACTCATTAAGTATTGTACGAACAATCTAAAATTATAAAATAATAAAATGTCTCAATTTATGTCTGTAACATATTTAAGAATTAAAAAAATGAAATTCCCTAATCAAGGAGCCAAATAAAATTCTATAATTTCGTACCTGAACCCATACTAAGACCACTAAAGTCCCGAACTGGTGAAACAAGTCATGAATCAAGTATCAAAGTCATGAACCAATCTCATAAAACATGAAAATTAATCTGTTTAAACCCAAAACTATTATTAAATGGATTAAACCGATCATAAACTGACTATTAGAAGGTTGAAGCGGTCCTGAACCGGTCATTAGAAGACTGAACCGGCCATGAACCGATCTTTAAATCACTAAACGGCCGTTATACCATGTTCTACTTCATTGAACCGACCCTAAACCAGACTAGGAAATATTGAACTGGCCTTTATATGCTGAACCAGCCGGTTTTATACACAATTCTCTTTGAATCGGGATTAAAACAGTATTATTATCACTAAACCAGAATTGAACCAATTAGCTTAATTAATTTCTTAATTTATCTTGGCCTAAACCAGTATTAAACTGGTTGTATAACCCGTGAATTGGCTTGTTCTTTAATTTCCTTCCTTTTTGTTTATTATTATTTTTTTATTTAATTATTTCTAATCCAAATCTTGGATCTGGTTTGTAGACGAGACCCAACCCGCATGGCCAAAGCCATACAGATTCAGTCCATGCCCAATCCAACAAATCTGATCCATGCATTTTCCTTAGCCCAGGCCTATATGAACTTGGCCCAAAATAGGGCCTAAGTCCTTAGACAAACTTAGACCCCTTTTCCAGGTCTTTCTCCTTAACTCGAGTAACCTGAAAACTAACAGTTACATACCTAAATATATTTGATCGCAAGAATGGCCTAATCCTGGCTCGAACCAGCAAGTGGCTTGTGGACTCCTTTCGTTGACCCTCTTGCAATTCTTTCCTTTGAGAAATTTTTCTTCAAAAACTCAACAATGGCAATCGTGGAGGTTTCTACTTGATACTACTACAAAAATTTCCAATTTCAAAATTTTCTATGAAATCGAGATAGAAGGTAAAATTGATATGGGGCTTCTATTTGAATCTCTTGTTTCTACATATACATGTGATCAATTTTGGGATTGTGTTGCAAAATCTCACAGATTTGGTTGAATTTTTGATTAACCTGATCACGAGATCCTTATGGATTTACCAAAACTGGAATTTCTGATTTCTTCTAAATTAGGCCTTAGCTTCCTAATTCTACTTGATCTAGTCCCTAACTGTTATAATTCATTCAATCAAATCCCCATTTTAATTTCAAAAGAAAACCCCAAAATTTTAGGATATTAATGTTGCCTAGCCTAATCGTATGTTTGCTTCTAGAAATCGACTCTTCACTATGGCACCTACTTGGTATTCACTAGGCTTTTGTAAGCCCTCTTGTCATGATCTTATTGAAGTTGGGTGTGCATTTACTAGAACAAGGTCACCTAGCATCTATTGAATGCAAACCTAACATTCATTGAATGCATGAAAAACTAACATCATGAGATGATTTTCCCATGCATCTAATAGATGTTGAGTGTGCTGCCCCAATAAGTGCACACCCAGTATCAACCACACCTCTTGTCACCAAGATGTCACTACTATGTTAGCATGGCAGTCCCTAATGCTAATGTCATAATTATTTAAGCACTCAGTGTATTCTACTTGCATTAAAACAACCAGCGGACAATTTTAGGCTAGGATATGCCAACCTTCTTTTTTACCTTATAATTTGAGTAGCTACAACATATAATAATTCTACATCCATTTTGGCCTTTAGAAAGAAAGCACTTACGCAAAATGTTAACTAGACAAAAATCTTATACATACATACATGCATGCATGCATATATATATATATATATTGGAAAAAAAAAACTAAAACATTTTTCTCCTCTGCAAGAAAAGCTCAATTTTTGAAAGTAATTTTGGCTGCACACCCTAGGGGTCATCATGGTTAGGCTTTCTTAATTTTTCATAAAATTATACTGTATTAATTATTTTAATTTTTATAATATTAATGCTAAAATCATACTTTTTAATATCGGTACTATTATTTTAGTTTTAGTACGTTTTAGTATGATTTTTACAACTTTTTAATCATATTAAAATATTTAAATAAACTAATAAAAGTTTTAAAAAAATCGCACAAAAAGGTTTTTTTAGTATATAACTAATAAAAAATTAAATTATTTTAATATTATATAATGTTAATAATTTCCTACATATGAGAATTTAATAAAATTTTCATTAATAATTATTTATAACTTTATATTCTCGATCTCATAATGGATTAGAAACAAATTAAAAATCATATAAAAATAAATAAAAAAGTTAGTTTTGTTTAATCAAATTTAACATGAAACTTTTAATTAATTTAATTAAAAACCCATCATCATTTGGGCGTTTAATTAACTTATGTATAATATAACTACTTTAATTAATAACTTGTAATCTAATTATTTAAAAGTTTAATAATTTCATATATAATATAAATTATTTAACATATTATTATATATAATATCCAGTAATATTTTTCTAAATATTTATTTATTATTTTACACTTATTTTTCTATCGATAGTTGACTTATAAGATTCAATAATTTTCATTTTAAAATTGCAGTTCAATTCTCAAGTATTTGCATTTATTTAGTAATGATAATTTTTTTAACTTCAGATTTTTGGTAGAAAAAAATCTAATACTTAGTTCGAATTTCTTTACATGTAATTTTATTCATTTAATTTTTTTTGAGAACTATTTTTAAATTTGTTAATGAAACTTTTTACTTATTTCCAACAAGAAAGTGTACTTAAGAAGTTTTTTTTTTCCATTAAAGCTTCTTATGTGTTAGGTAATTTATAAAATTTAAATTATATGATAAATTGGTAAGTGATTCATTACATTATAATATAAATTTGATAAAAATGAAATATAAAAAAAGGAATAACTGCATTCTCTAATAGATATACAAAAGTTAAAAAATTACTTGTAAAAATATAGAATGTATAATGAAATTTTTTTGTACTTTAATTCCTAATGTTTTCACTTTTTTTATATAATTTTTTTAATTTTACTATGAATTATAATTAATACTTAAGAATTTAATTATTTTATATATGATATAAAATAATTTAATAAATTATTATATATAATATTTGGTTCAGTATAATTTTTTGTCGAATTTAAATTTACAAAATCAAAATTATATCAAAATATTTAATACAATATTACCTAATATTAAAATCTATAATTTTTTTTTGAAATCTAACTTCCAATACCATATGATTCGGTAGCATCTAGATTGTTATGGATCAATACAGTTATGAAAATAATCAACAACCTAGACAGCCCACGTTCGATAACCCATCTCACATAGTCTATGCCTCAATCTCATTGCTATTGCCATGTTTAATATATATAATACATCGTTATAGTATGGTTTTAAACTTTAATTTTATTTTTTTTAAGCATGCATTCATTATTTTACACTTTTTTTTTATAGTTAAGATATAAAATTTAATAAATTTTATTTTAAAAATTGAAATTCAATTCTTAGTACTTGGATTTATTTGGTAATGGTAATTTTTTTTAACTTCAAGTTTTTGATAGAAAAAATTTAATATTTAGTTTAATTTATTTACATGTAATTTTTCATTAAAATTTTTTTTCTAAAACTACTCTTTAGATTTATTAAGTAAAATTTTTTACTTATTTACAATTGAAAAGTGTATTTAAGAAAAAAAAATTTACCGGTTAGGGTTTCCCGTGTATTAAGTAATTTATAAAATTTAAATTATGTGGTAAATTGATAAGTGATTCATTATATAATAACATAAATTTGATCAAAAAAGAAAAAATAGAAAAAGAAAGGGCCACATTTTTTAATAGATTTACAAAAATTAAGAAATTAGTTGTAAGAGTATAGAATATATGAAAGGTGTGCAAAATCAAACCCATTAACTAAATTAAATCAAGCAAAACTAAATTTTAAAATATATACTTATATGTGTGTGTACACAGACACTCATACATATATACATACATACACATACATATATACACACACACACACATACAAATTTTATTTACTAATATAAATATAAATATATATGTATGTACATATATTTATATTATATATAAATACAAATATATATGTACATATATATACATATATATAAGCACACTTGTGTATATACATACATATATATATGTAGGCGCATGCATGTACACACATGTAGATACATATCTTTGTATGTGTGCGTGCCTGTATAAGAGTGTGTGTGTGTGTGAGAGAGAGAGAGAGAGTAAATCAATTAATACTAGTGTAAAACATAAAAATACTTACATTAAATTTTACATTACTGATTTGATTAAAATCAGTAGATGAAATTAATTATAATTATTTTTTACTATATTAATTTATAAATATCTTCCTTTATATTGATTTATAATTGTGAAAAGTAATTATAAATTAATACAGTGGAAGACAATTATGAATTAATATATTAGAAGATAATTATAATTAATCTTATCAATCGGTTTTGACTAAATAAATAGTATAAGACTGATAAAATATTTTACATATATACGAGTGTCAATTTATCATTTATTTATATAGATATACACACACGTGTATATATATATACATAAAAATATGTATTTATATATTTATGTGTATATATATACACATATATTTTTTTATAGTTATATGAAATATAATATATATATATATATACACGGATACATATATCTCACATCGCCATCGCCATCGCCAATCATAAACTATTCACGCCTCAATCTCATCTTCATTGCCCGGAGCTTAGCATTTTTGTCTTCTGCTAACTGACTTACCCACCTTACAGCCGTCCCGACCATTCAAGTGTTGCCATACAGATCTACAGACACCTTCCCTCTCCCATTGCCATTCGCTTCTCCTTATTTTGACTTTTAATACTTCGTGGTCCAATCTTATTACAACAGCTCCATGGCTGCCGGAGATCGGAAACTTAGAGCCGTCTTCCTCCCATACTTCACCTCCAGCCATATAATTCCCCTTGTAGACACCGCCAGGCTCTTTGCTGCATGGGGCATCAGCGTCACCATCATCACCACCTATATATATACACGGATACATATATCTCACATCGCCATCGCCAATCATAAACTATTCACGCCTCAATCTCATCTTCATTGCCCGGAGCTTAGCATTTTTGTCTTCTGCTAACTGACTTACCCACCTCACAGCCGTCCCGACCATTCAAGTGTTGCCATACAAATCTACAGACACCTTCCCTCTGCCATTGCCATTCGCTTCTCGTTATTTTGACTTTTAATACTTTGTGGTCCAATCTTATTACAACAGCTCCATGGCTGCCGGAGATCGGAACTTAGAGCCGTCTTCCTCCCATTCTTCACCTCCAGCCATATAATTCCCCTTGTAGACACCGCCAGGCTCTTTGCTGCACGGGGCATCAGCGTCACCATCATCACCACCCCATCGAATGCCGCTCTGTTTCAAGCCTCCGTCGATCGGGACATCGCCATTGGCCGTGAAATTACCGTTCAGACTATCAGATTTCCCTCGGCCGAAGTGGGTTTGCCCGAAGGCATCGAGAACTTTGGTGCAGTCGATTCAATTGAAATGGCTGGAAAAGTCAACCAAGGCATCTTCCTCCTTCAGAAACCGATGGAGGAGTTGGTTCGCAACGGTTGCCCGGACTGCATCGTCTCCGACATGTTCTACCCCTGGACTGTCGATATCGCCAAGGAATTGAAAATTCCAAGGTTTATTTTGTATGCGACCAACTGTTTCTACCACTGTGCGTTTCATAGCTTGCGGCTTCACGCACCTCACGAGAAGGTAAACTCCGATGCGGAGAGCTTGGTGATTCCGGGACTCCCCGACCCAATTGAGATAACGAGGGCTCAACTAGAAGATTATCACAAGACCCAGACTGAGTTTGGGAAGCTGATGGATCTAGTGAAAGAAACAGAGGTACAAAGCTACGGCACAATCTTTACCAGCTATTCCGAACTCGAACCCCTTTACGTCCATCACTACAAGAATGTCCTTGGACGAAAGTGTTGGCACGTGGGTCTCCCCTCTCACGCGATCGAAAGAAACAGGGGATTGGAAGAAAAAAACTCAAAAAGGGACTACCTGCTGAGTTGGCTCGGCACCCAGAAAGCCAACTCGGTCCTTTATATTTGCTTTGGCAGCCTTGTACTCTTTCACGACGCGCAGTTGCGTGAGATTGCGAAAGCGCTCGAAGAATCAGATCAGCCTTTTATTTGGGTGGTGAGAACAAGGGATCAAACGGAAGAAGAAAGTTGGTTGCCGGAGGGGTTTGAACAGAGAGCCAAGGAGAGTAACGGGGGACTAGTGCTAAGAGGATGGGTTCCCCAGGTATTGATCTTGAACCACTCGGCCATCGGCGGGTTCATGACTCATTGCGGTTGGAACTCGGTCCTGGAAAGCGTCACCGCCGGCGTACCGCTGATCACGATGCCCCTTTTCGCCGAACAATTCTACAATGAGAAGCTTATTACTCAGGTTTTGAAGATTGGAGTTGAAGCGGGGTCGGAAGTTTACAATCCCATGTTTGAGATAATGAATATTGTGGCGGGTAAAGATAAGCTGGTGAGGGCTATAACCGGGTTGATGGGTGGGTCGGAGGAGGCCCAGGAGATCAGACGGCGAGCGAAGGAGATGAGTGTGAAAGTCAAGAAGTCCGGGAGAACGGAGGGTCCTGTTACTCTGATTTGGACGCTCTAATTGAGGAGATAGGAGCTTGCGCTGTTGGGAAGACGATCAATGACGCAGGTAAACCAGAAAAATATCAAGCCATTAAATAATTTTAGTGCGAGATGTATGAAAATGGAGAATAGATGATGTTATTCAGACAAATAACTATAAGATATCAATAATAATTTACTCCTTTATATATTTGAGGCGCTTAAATCATGAATTTAGTAGTCCTTTAAAAGAAGTGTGCAAGGAATTGGCTGACTTTGTATTAAGCGACCTTTATATATTTTAAGGCGCTTAAATCATGAATTTAGTGGTCTTTTAAAAGAAGTGTGCAAGGAATTGACTAGCTCTGTATTAAGCGACCTTTATATATTTTAAGGCACTTAAATCATGAATTTAGTGGCTTTTTAAAAAAAGTATTAAGGAATTGGCTGGCTCTGTATTAAGCGACCTGAATATTAATATATTCATTTCTATTAATGAAAGCAATTCTCATGATTGGTGTTAGAATGCGATTTTGAGAGGGTGTAAGCTCAGCCAAATGAGCCTGCATAAATTATATTATATTAAAATTCAATCCAATGGATCCGCGTTGTACATGTTTATGTCACGAACACGCTTACCTCCTTGGCCAAATGAGTAATGACGAGACAATGAGGTGACCGAGATGGATGACTAGACGGATGAATCAACTCTGTAAAAGATGTCCATTCGGTTCTCGTTCTCCACCAACTAAACAATTTAATAAAGGTTTGTGCAGTTGGTTGGATAGAGTGAAGTAAAATAGGGTCAGTTTAGAACTAAATATTCTACTGTAAAGAGAATTGGGTAGTTATTTTGTTTGATAAAGGTAATAAAGGTAATGGATAGTGACAATAGTAAAGATAGTATTACCTACGGAGGTTGAGTAAATTTCAGATAAAATTATACTATCCCTTTTCTTAATATAGTTTACCCAATTTTGCCTAATTATTATTTAATTTCTTTCGTACTCAAATTTTATCCGATCCCATTTTATCTCACTTACTAAACATAGACAAAGATAGGATAAAAAGTTGATAAATTATCCTTTTTCGTCTTTATCATAACTATCAAATGAGCTCCAAGGAGATAAGTCCCGTGATGGAAGAATGGTCATTTTGATGCTAAAGATGGGTTTTAGCGTGCTTACCAGAAGAGCTTGTGCACTTCTCGAGACACAAAACCACTTTTAAGATATTTTATTTGTTATTTTTGATTAAAGTTTAGTTTTTTAAAATTAGAAAAAAGTAGAGAAAAAAATTAATTTTTAAAGTTGAGATTTTAATACTTATAATTTTAGTGACATAATTGTAAATAAATAGAAAACTATTTTACAATAGTTTTAGATAATTTTACCATCAAATATTTTATTTAATTCCTAAATTATTCTTACCCATTTCTCTCCTTTCCATTTCTCTCCAGTCATCGCCACACAATAGCATTTGCTGCTGCCCTTGGAGATGCCACTGCTTGTGGCGGTACGGTGGCGATTGTCACACATAATGGCCCCTAGACGACCTTTGCATGCAATAGCTGAACACAATAGCTCTAAATGGCCGTTGTGTGCAATGGCTACGATTGCCACACACAGCAACCCAAAACAGCTGCTATGTGAAAATCACCATACGTAACAACTCTAGACACAACAACTACAATGGCCACATATAGCAGCTCCTAGATAGCCATTGCGTGCAGCGGTTCTACCGTTGGAAAAATAGAAAATTTTAAAAAATTAAATAAAAAATATATTTATAAGGATAAAATTATCATTTTATCTTAAAAATTTTTTCATTATCGTTTTACAAAAATTATATTCCAAACACTATTTTACTAATTTTGAGAATTTTTTTTTCATATTTTATAAACACTCCTATTTCTCGTTAAAAATATTTTTTTTACTTACTTCTATTTAAAACACTTACTTTTGATTTTACAAAACTTTTGCAAACACCCTTAAGTACTGTTTTATTGTAAGTTTGTTATTTTTATTTCAAATTGAACTAATATAGAAATTTTTTTTATATAATACCAAATATTAAATTATTTTATGAACAATTAAAATAAATTTATTCCAACTTTTGCTTTTTAAATTTAGAAACGAAACACAAAATTAACCGAGTCTCAGTATGTCGAAAGTAAACAATTAATTTTTATTTGGTTAAACAAATAAAAAAAAAAAATAAAATAAAATAAAAAGTACACGTGTCAGCCTGGTATTGAAGAGTTCATTTACTCAAGGGTGGGCTTTAAAAGGAAACGCAGCAGGGAGAAGACCTGCTGGACAGCTGGAGCTTGGGTCTTCTCCCATGTTGGAAGTTGTCTCATTAACTGGGAAATAACTCGTGCAGATTGGTGAGACAATTGCATGCAGTCCAACAAATTAATGCCTAATTGAAGAATCACCTTGGAAGCTAGTTCTTCAATGTTGGAAGTGGGTTGATTAATTAGTTTTGGAAGCAACTAAGTGGATAGATGCATATTATTTGTGATTAAAGTCATTACTTGGTTGTAAAACTTTCACAACTAGAAAAACTGTAATTCCTTATGAAAATTTTTTGACAGACATAATTCAGTTAAAATTTTTACAATCTTTTTCATGAAAAGTTCATCAGAAAATTCTTTTGTAGTTCATCAAAAAAATTCTTTTGATTGACTTTTTGTGATGGATAATTTTTTATCAGAATTTTAATGGACCTTCTAACATAAAACCCATTGAAATAATATTTTTCAACAAATATAAATACTTTTCAACAGACAATATTTATCAGAAAAAGTATTTTTTTAAAAAAATATAATTTCTATCAGAAATTTAAAAAGAAAATAATAGTTTTAAAAAATTAAATTTTTTTTCAGACATTGTTTGTCCAAAAAGAAAATAAAAAAATTTCATAAGTTCATTAGAAATTCTGTTAGAAATTTTTAAAAAATAAATTTTTAACAATAAATAATTTTTTAAAAGTCTATCCAAAATTTTAATTTTATTAGAAATAAATGAAAAAATATTTTTACAAAAAAGTAAATTTTTGATGGATATTCTCTATCGGAAACTTCTTGTCTGACAAAAACTTTAACAGAATTTGAAAATTGCATTGGAATCAGTAAGACTTCCAATCGCATATTGGATAGACTTGTCAATCAAAAATGCCTTCTATAAAACAAAATAGTGGCAGAATTTTGCATTTAAACTATTTCTTTATTTCTCACTCAAATCTCTTGCCTTCCTCTTCCTCTCTTCTCCTTCCAGTGATCTTTGCTTTCTTATGTCTTGGAGTATATAACGTCTTGTTGAATGACATGTTAAACATTAGTATTTGATTATTGCCAGAATGCAATGGTTGCATCCTTTTATGGGGAGACTCGTTAAAAAATCACAAGGAAGAATTTGTGAATATCTTTTCTTCTTTTTTCTTCTTTTTTTTTTCTTTAATATCTATGACTTGTATGAGGTTGCCACTTTCTCTGTCTCTGTCTCTGTCCCTGTATGTGTGCGTATGAGAAACAAGTAGTGTCAGCTATGGTTCCTAGATCCCATGTAGAAGTTTTTTGCTAAGGCCATATTGAGTTGCCCTCACCCTTAAAATCCAATCCACGTATATTAATTTTTATGTAGGCTTACTTTTTTTTCTTATATTCCTTTTTGTGGACATATGTAAGATACACTTTTCAAAGGTGATATGTATAAAAAAAATTTTGGTCCATTTATTAAAAAATGGAAGCTCAAATAAATTTAAGTGAAATAGAGAAATTGAAAAAAAAAACTGAATATTAATCAAAAATATTTCCCTGCTCAGAGATAATTGGGCACATTCGCTTTATCATCAAAACATGGTGACTGAAAAATTGATTTTTAACTTTTTTATTAAATAAAATTTCTGAGAAACTTTACCAGTTAGAAAATTTTTAGACAGACAATTTTCATCAAAAAATTTTCCAACTGAATTTTTGGCTGAAATTTTCTGATGAAAACTTTTCATAAAAAAATCAGTCAGAAAATTTTCTGATAGAAAATCCATCAAAAATCCGTAAAAACTATGTATAGCTTTTTCTGTCATACATTATTATTGACAGGCTAATTTTTGAGGGACAGCTGTCCATTAGAAAAGTCAATTTTAATGAATTTTATCGCATTTTTGATGGATTTTGTGCGGGGGAAATGATGCTTTTCTGGTAGTGCTTGGATTTTAGCTCATTTTTGTATTGGCATTTGAAAAAGCATCTGGATTTTGAAAGTTACAAGACAAAACCAGAGCTTTCTTCCTCAAATTCTCTTATAATTCGTGGTGGGTTTGTAGAGAGAGAAAGAGAGGGAGAAACATAGTGGTGCTTGAAAGGCTTACTTTAGTGGAGAAGTTGACTTAAGTGCCACACGGTGAGCCAAGAGTAGAGTGTTTAAGGTATTGGAAGAACTTGGGCCGTGACACTTATGTGATGGCACGTTTTCCACTAACCATCACTCAGAAACACTAGTCCACTAAATACAATACCGTTAAGAAATTTTTTTAAAAAATATTGCTCTCATTTTCGGTAGAAGAGGGAATATTTCCTCATTTTTGGCTAAATTCTAGGCGTTAGTAGACTGGTAGCAGTTGGAGAAAGTGAAACAACTACTACAAGAAATTAATGATTTTTTAAGATTTTTTGTCTGAAAAAATTGGTAATCAACATAAAAATTGACGAATTTTGATGATTTTTTTGTCAAATAGTTCATTGAAAAACTTTTCCAATAGATAACTTGTCGAGAAAAAGGAAATTAGTTGGAAAGAATGTTTCCTACAGATTTTCCAACGGAGCAATTACTTGGAAAATGAATATCAATTTTTGTTTAATATTAAAAAATTTTTGATAGATAAATATCCATTAGAAACTTTTTTAAAATTATTTTTGGAAAGTTTGTCCATGGAAAATGTCCATCAGAACAACTAAATTTTTTTAAATATTTCAAATTAATAGTTTGGATAAAAAATTTTATCAGGAAATCTATCAGAAAAGTTAAAATTTTTTAA